TGGGACTTCTCAGCCTCCATAAATCACTGTAATCCCAGTGGCTCTGGAGGCTGAGGCAGGAGGATTGCAAGTTTAAAGCCAGCCTCAGTCAATCCCTCACAGTACATCTTTCTATATATCCTGTTCTGTTTCTCAGGAGAACACTGACTAATATATTTGGGGAGAATTGACATCTTATACTATTGAGTTTTCCAAACTATTTCCTTCCAATTACCAAAATCTTCTTTAATTTCTATAATAAAATTTCATCATTTTCATTGTGAAGCAGTGGTTTATTCACCACAACTCTAATGGGTTAGGGGCCTTCTGGGCCAGACATAGTGGGGCAAGAACTTACTTCGAGGTGGAATGAAGAAGCTGAAATCAGAAGTGATGAAGGATTCCACTAAGTAAAGTTACAGTTTCAAGAGTTTTACAGTGGGCAGCAATAGTCTGGTGCATAGCATCATAAGTGATAGACAGTAGCCTTGTGCCCAGCAGCAGGGATGCCAGGGATCTCCAGAGTGATGCTGTGCTGCAGCCTACCATGTGACCATTATTCAGCAGCAATTGTTCATGAGGTCCTCCTCACGTGACTATTACTAAAGCATGATGCTGTCATCTTTAAATGTGAAAAGCTGAACCCAGGCCAAGTTCACCTTCTAGGCCCTCCCTCTTTTCCTCTCTCTTCTATTTCTGGAAACTTCTCCAGCCTGCTAGCATGCCTTTTCAGCACCTTCACAATTAGTCAGAACCTTCTCTTGCCATCCACATCTAGACCTGCCTTATCCTATACTTCTCCACAGTACCATAAAAGAACCTCAAATCCTCCTCCTTCCCATTTCCCTCCTTTATTCTTACTTAGAATATTTAGGTGTTCGGAAGAAGTGGATAGAGGATTCAGTCCATATCAATAGCTAGGTAAGTATTTCTCAAATTAGGGGTGAAACATATAATCCTAGAGGTTTGAGAGGTCTATGGGAATTATATAATGATTGTTGATATTTATTGAGCACTTACTATGTGTCAGGTGCTATTTGGAAAGTTTTACTCATTGCCTTCACTATAAGCCTATAAAGCAGATGCCCCAATCTCCATTTAACAGATTAGTAAACTGAGCAACGTGTCCCTATCCCTATCAAACAGCTGAGCAATCACAGAAATAATGATTTATTGGCCCAATATTGGACAGTTAATAAATGATAGTGTAAGGAACCCTATCCAGGCAGGCTGTGTCTAGAGTTAATGCTTTCAATTACTTTGTCATGCTGTCATTTGAGGCTTGATTGGAGATAGATGGTTTCAAGGTGATCTCGTGCATATATCTGGCAGTTACTGGAAGATGTGATATGGGACCTCCTCCTCCAAGTGGTCTTTCCAGCAGGCTATTTCAGATTTTTATATGGCAGCTGGATTCCAAGAGGGTAAATGTTATGTGGAAAAGTATCTTGATGCAATGGCAGCCTCTAACTGTACCACCAGTCTGGCTGTCACAAAGGCCACAGAACAGATAGGTACATAGACCTAATTAAGATGCTTGAATCATATTATCTATACAGCAATTTTAAAACATGCCTTCACATTATTTGACATTGTTCCCATTGAGAAGTAGGACTATATTCCCTTTCCTTGAGTCTGGGCTGGCCTTAGTGGCTTGCTTTGTAGCCAACAGAATACAATGAAAAGTAATGCTGAATTTCCAAGGATAGGTCAGAAAAGTCCATGAGCCTGGTTCTTTTCAGACTCTGGGGAGAAGCCAGTTGTCAGGTAAGAAATTTGCCATGCTAAAGGGGCTATGTGAAAGAACTTTGTATTTCCAGCCAGTTCATATGTCAGACACATGAGTGAGCCTTTGTATATGTCCAGCCCAGTTGAACCTCAGTTAATGTCTGATTGCCACTATATGAGAGACTTCAGTAAAGAACTGCCCAAACAAGCCCTTCCCATATTTCTGAGCCACAAAATCATGAGCAAAATAAACTGGTTATTTAATCTGCAAAATGTTGTTGTAATATGTTCAGAGCAGTAATAGAAATCAGAACAGTTCACCAACCAGTGTGTAAGAAGAAGTGCAGATTAACAAATTTAGGACAGGCTGCAAGGACTATAATACCTAAATTATGTTTTATGCAGAGATAATATGTCTTGTCCTTCTCTGGTCTTCCAGCAAGTTGGGTTTTTTTTTTTTCTGGAGAGTCGGAGAGTGGGCAAGGAGGTTCAGCAGACTGAAGGGCCTGGACCCAACATACATCTGCCCTGTGGAAGAGATGAGCAAGTGTGTCTGGCCATAACCGTAGCTGACCATTAGCTCAACTGTTTCTCTGTCTTTTTTTTTTTTTTTTTGGTACTCACTGGCACTTAACTACAGAGCCACATCACCAACCCTTTTTATATTTTATTTAGAGACACGATCTCACTGAGCTGCTTAGTGAGACTTGAGCTTAGCCTCACTTTTGCTGAGGCTGGCTTTGAACTCGGGATCCTCCTGTCTCAGCCTCCCAAGCCACTAGGATTACAGGTGTGCGTCACCGTGCCTGACAGTTTGTGCCTTCTTAATAATTAAAGACCACTCACCTTTCTACCCCTTTCTGTAAAGCAGCACTCTCATCTGCTCCATTCTTTTTATCTATGCTCAACACATATTCATTTATTCTAGGTAAAACATCTCATAAATGACTTGCTTCTACATTTTAGTTTTCTCACTGCTTTACAATAGAATGGAATATTCTTAAATTATGCAACAAAGGCATTGGAGTAAGCACATGCTTATCAGATAAGGTTCATGATGTCTCATTTATTGGTCAAAGCAAGTCACGACATTGACAGTTAATGTGGAAATGGACTACACAAGGGAGTTGATAACAGCAGGTGGAATTCATTAATTCATCAGGAATTACTATTGTTAACAATCTTCTATTAACACATGGCTAGGCAATGGTTGTTCCAAGGATCAAATTTTCAGCAATCTGTCTCTGGACTCCACACCCTAACCCGAAGTCCTACAGGCTGCTGGGAATGAGTTCTCACAGAGAAGCTTTTTCAAGCCTTACTCTCCAGGCCCCAACCCAAGTCCAATGAATCAGAATCTCTTAGGCATACGGGGTATTTTTAGGTTGGATGAGGTGATAATCTCAGGTACCTGAGACAAAAATAACAGCAGAAGATCCAGTAAACATGGAGGGGGATTTCAAAGACAAAGAGTTCTTGTACTCAAAAATCCATCCTTTTCTATAAAGTGCATTCATAATTATCATTATTACATAATGGAAGTGAAATTTTTAAAATTTGCTTTGCATGGTTTAGAGCAGTTCTCAAACTAGTGTGCATCAGTTTTACCTCAAGCATTTGTTAAAATACAGTGACTGAACTAGCCTACATACTTCAGATCATCTCTAGATTATACATAATACCAAATATGTGTAAATAGTTGTTATGCTGTATTGTTAAGGAAATGACAAGAATAAAAGTCTATATACATGCTCAGTGCAGATGCATCTCTTTCCCATTTTTTTTTTCTGAGGTTGGTTGAATCTACAGATTCAGAACCCCAGATAGAGGCTGGCTGTATTGCACCTACATATTTATAGCACATCTACTACACATATGGGCTGGGAGCTTAGTGGATAAGGATGGGATTTAGATCTACATTACACTTGAGCAGATTTATTGTCTAAGTGGATTTATTCTTTAAGACAGGGTGCCTAAGTATCATTAGAAGCGATCTTCTTTCCCTGTAAGAGATAAGGCAAAGCTCCATGGAGCAGGAGACCCTTTGAAACAGGCCTTGAAGTTGCCTAGGAGTCGTGGAAATCACAGAGAATCACAGAATTCTTTCTGTCCCGGCATGGAGAGAAGGAAAAATCACAATCAACCACCCAAAAAAGGTCTGTGACATTCTTGCCCCAGGCTCCAGCATCGGCAATCCTCAAGCGGCCCGCTGTCGTCAGACCAGCGAAGAGCGTTCTTCGCCTCAAGGTCTCTGGGCTCAAGCCCTCCCAGGGAACGGGTAGAACCGGCCTTGCCTTCTCTAGGGAGCACTCGGCAGTTGCCTCAGCGCCCTGCTGTCTGGCCGCGATGGGCGCTGACCCGAAGAAGGGCGCGGCTCGGGCGCTTCATTTCCCAAAGGCCTAAGCCGGGCGCTGTGACCTCACCAGGCTCCGAGTGGCCAGTGCCAGGAGAGTCAGGCCGCACGCTGGGGCACCGCTCAAAAGGCTTCCACATTTAGGATGGTGGTGGGGTGGTCCAGGCGGCAGTTGCACAACCGGCTGGCAAGGGGCCCCAACTCTTTTTCCTTGCGGGTGGGTTTAAACGTGGCGGCTGCCAGCACACAGTGCAAGCCCGCCTTCTTCCACCTCCACGCACCGAGAAGGTAGGGACGCGAGTGCGCATTCCCCGGCCCCCCCTCCCCCGCCAAGGCTTTCGAGCCTGCGCTGCGCCTGCGCGGCCCCGCCCACGTCCTGCCCCTTTCGCTTCGTCCCGCCCTGTTACCCCCTGTACCACCACTAGGGGTAGCCGCGGCGGCTGCGGCCTGAGAGCGCGGCTGCTTTGAGGGCGCCGGAGCCGCACAGAGTCGGGACAAGGGAAGGCAAGAGGGTGGGAAAGCCGCCGGGAGAGGAGGGCGGTGCCCGAGGAGGGCGGCGCGTGGCTGACTCATCCCTCTGGAAGAGCAGACTGACAGACACACTAGCCGAGCCCGCCCGCGCCGCTCCTCCTCAGCCGGGAGGCGCCCGCCCGCACCACCCGCCCGCCCTCTCCGGGAGCTCTCCGGGCCCGGCCGCCTCGGAGAAAGTTTTTCTCTTCGGAGAGGCCGGAACCGTCGCGTGCCTTTTGGAAGGAACGGGGGGACGGAAAGGGAGGCGACCGCCGCGCCGGCCCGCGGAGTGCATGGTGCCCGGCGCCTCGGCTGCCTGTCAGGAGGACCTCGGGGCGGGGTCGGGCTGAGCCAGCTCCCTGCTCTCGACCCAGCCTGGTCAGAAGTCGCCCTCCGGGACTGCCGCGGGGGTCCCCGCTCCTCAGCCCGCCATGTCCCKGTTGCTGCCGCTGCTGAGGAGCCGGACCGCGCGCAGCTTGAGGCCGGGCCGGCAGCCACCACCGCGCCCTGCTCGCCGTCCTGGTACTGCTGCGGGCGGGGGCTGCTGGCGCTCGCGGCCCCCGGAGGCCCCCGGAGGCTGGGYACCCACCCCAAGAAGGAGCCCATGGAGGCGCTGAACACGGCGCAGGGCGCGCGCGACTTCATCTATAGCCTGCACTCCACCGAGAGGAGCTGCCTGCTCAAGGAGCTGCACCGCTTTGAGTCCATTGCCATCGCCCAAGGTAAGGGGGCGCTTGGGGGACGGGCCTGGGCCGGGCACCCTCCCTCCTCGGCCCCCCCCCCCCGGGAGCCCATCCCTGCCTGCCACCCTGGCCCGCCTGGCCTCGCGCCTGGGACGGTCGAGTGGGGGGGCACTTTCCACCTCCCGAGTGTCCCCAAGGCAGGTAGGACGCGCGCGGATGGTGCCAGGCAGCTGGGGCCAAGTCTGACTGGTTTCTCCCAAGCCTCAGAATCTAGAGCTTCAGCCTAGAATGCCAGCCCCACACCATTTTGTTTTGATTTGTCCTGTGCCACCCCTCCCCAGCCCTCCTGCCTAAGGCCCTTGCTGCCTTCTTGGCGAACGTGCACCTATGCAGGTGGCATGCCCTGCCTGCCCGAGAAAGTGCTGCAAAAGACAGGCAGGAAGAAACTTTGCTAAACGGTTAGCAAAGAAGATGTATGGGCTCTCCCCCTACCCCCCAAAGAGGTGTAGCTTCCCAAGGCAGTGATGCTCTCAGCTGCTTGTTTCCACATGCATCTGGTTGTATTAATCAATGTCAGCAGACGAAGGAAACATGTTTCTGGGAAATGGAAAGAATGGATCAAATCAGCAACTGCAGTTGAATTAGAATCCCTGGGAGGTTCAAGTTTAACTCTGGGTTTTGTTTCGCCAGAGTTCAAATGACATAAATAAGGTATTTAGGAGGGGGAGAAAATCTGAAGTTCTACAATAAAAAGCAGATTTCTGCTTTAAAATATTTTGGAAGGGTGAAAGCAAAGCTATTTTTAAGCAGACATGTTAAAATAGGATATTTTTAAAACAAGTGCAGCAGTGGTAGGTCAGAATTTGAGTCTAGGTGAAAAGGCTAAAAGTTCAGAAAAGCTAAAAGCTGAGAAAGTACCAAAGGGTCAAAATGGATTCAGACTTAAAATACTTTGGCCACTTGAATACTCTTATGTACACAGCAGCTTGCTGTTATTTTCTGTTACATTCTGATGTGTTTGAAAGCTTTTAGAAGTTCTTTAAAAAACTTTTTTATATGATAGGCATATAAACATTCCATAGATTCTTAAGTTTAGAGCACATTGAATTGGAACATGGCATTTGATTTGCTAGAGGTACTTCCAAGTGTATCCTCGGCTGATGTGCATGACTTATCTTTACTACTACAGAAACTTTTTATTGTACCTTTTAACCACTTTTTTTTTGCAGGGGGAGGGGCTTAGTTTGTGGTATTGTGGACCCATGTAAAGTATCCGATAGGCAAGACTATTTGAACACACATTTTGCCTTTTCTTTTTTTTTTGAAAGGTCAAGTATTTTATTTTTAAAATTTTTAAAATTCTAATTTGTTATTATGACAGCAGAATGCATTACAATTCATAGTACACACATAGAACACAACTTTTCATATCTATGGTTGCACACAAAGCAGAGTCACACCATTTGTGTCTTCATACATGTACTTAGGGTATTTATGTCCATCTCATTACACTGACCTTCCTACCCTCATTCCCCCTCCCTTCCCCTCCCTCACCTTTGCTCTATCTAGAGTTTGTCTAATCCTCCCATGCCCCCAACCCCAACCAGCCCCATTATGAATCAGCATCCATATATCAGAGAAAACATTCATCATTTTGCCTTTTCTAAGAAATTTCTTGGAAATTCTGTATTGTCAATATGTTGCTGAATTGAAATGCCCTATGAATATAATCTTTTGACAGTTATTAAAAAGCATATCCCACAATATGACTGGTTACATTTTTATCTCATTATTGTTTTTGCACATGCTTGCATTCTACATTCTCATAGGCATTCTACATTTTCCAGTGAAGATAATATTTTAAGATTTAACATAGTATAAAATATTCTAGAAAGAATCCCCAAACTTCAGTCAGTGGAGACCATTAGCATAAATTAGACTGTGTGTAGTTATATGGGAAAAAATTGGTAATTCAAATTGTTTTTGTTCAGGAGAAACAAGCAACTTCATAGGAAACAATGTAGTGGCCTAATGCTCTTCTTCTGTTTAGAAGCTGAAGAACTTCAAAAGTTAAATCGGCTATTTTCCTTATGTTACTGACTAAATTATTACCTTTTGAATTAAGTGACACTTAGAGATGTGGCTGCTTTAGTTTTTAGTGCAGTCTTGGTGTTCACTTATTATTTTCAGTATCAAGACATGTAGTAATTATGGAGATAAGTAGAATCATCATTTAGTAAATTACCTTATTCATTAATTATGTAAGGTTAAAAGGATTTTACTGTGTTGGGAATGCATATCATTCATTTTATTGCTGAAATCAACATTTTTTTTTTCTCCAGCAGACAAAAATTCCCATATTTCTTTTGTTTTTGCTTTTTGAATAATGTTTTTAAATACCCAACTAATATACTAAATGTATGTGTACTAAGTACATTTTCTAATGAAGTACACTATTTGTTAAAAGGACTGTTTTTTATCATAGGAAATTTTATGTCCTTGGAAAAGGTGCTTGTGTGATCTAATGAAGTGTTTTGACTTAGGTATGGAAAAAGAAAAAATCATCTATGCTGTGACATGGTCAATAAAATCTGCTGCAATTTGGTACATTTACTCTTATCTTTTTACATGTTTATCAGTAAGCATTTGGTATAGTTGGTGACAAAATAAAGCTTTAGAATCAATTTGTAGTATATTAGGCAGACTCTGTGGGATGTCTTATAGTTAAATAGGATATTGTGATTTTCAAATTACAGACTGATTCTCTTCCCAATTAAAACAAAAAGTGTATGTTGCCCTCTTACTTTTCCTGCTCAACTTAATTTCTTTCCTTCCAGAAACAGGCCATATTCTGCTGAACGTCCTTGGTTCATTGTTACTACAAGTAGGACTGGCAAACTAAGATTTTCAGAGCTGCCTTTCAATATTAACCAAGATTTTTAAAACACATTTCCTAATTTTTGTAATTAATAGTTCAAAAATTAAAAAAACGATTAAAATACAACATTTTGGTTCTGAAAAATGGTAGTGCACATTGTATTAATAGTTATCCATTGCTGTGTAACAAATTATCCCTAAACACAACAGCTTAAAACAAGCATGTATCATCTCACAATTTCTGATGTTAAGGAATTCTAGAGCAGCTTGGTTGGGTATTTCTGGCTCCTAATCTCTCATGAAATTGAAATACAGCTTTCTGCTGGGGCTGTATCATATGAAATCTTGACTAGGGCTGGAGGATCCATTTCGAAGCAAATCTACATGGCTATTGGCTGAAAGTGTCATCTCTTTGCTCGTGGGCCTTTCTACAGGGATATCTGAGTATTTTCTAGCCATGGCTGCTGTTTATCTAGAATAAGTGAGAGAGATCCTAAGCTAGGAATTATCTTTTTTAACACAGTCTTAGAAGTAACAAAGCTTCTCTTTCACTGTGGCACATGGTGGGAAGGTACTGCACAGTGTGTGAATGCCAAAGGGGTGGGAATCCTTAGGGGCTGACTTGGACATTGGCTCCCACAGTTACATGAGATTTGTAATTAATGCTTACCTAGAGTTTCCCAGAGAGACAAGAGTTGCTGATTGGGGTGATACAATGAGAGATACGATTTGAAAGAAGTCTCTTAGCGAATATTTTTGTTAGATGTGCACTAAGATGTCTTAATAAAGATTATTTTTACATATAGCAATATAAAAGATGTATTGAAGTGAATAGAGCAGTTTTTCCACCAATAATAGAGTTAGATTTTTTTTTGTTTCTCTGTGTAAGTCGTAATTTTGTACTTAATTTTTAAAATTATGTCTGTATCCATATACATTAACCATAGAATTCTGAACTTCAATCTTGTAGTTCCCATTTCTTGTGATTGTTTATTTAAAGATGGGATGGGAAACTTTATAACTTAAATTTTTCATGGAGTTCTGATCCATTAGGAATGTTGACCCTTTAACAGTGGTGTTGTTATTTTTTCAGCCAGGATTATGTGAGAAAGAAGCAATTCTTTTAATCTGTTAGCCTGTGTAATGGATTGGGCATTATCTTGACTTTTGCTCAAAGAGAAAAATATATCATAGTCCAAATTGAGATATATGAATGAAGATATTTTAGTATTTTCATTGAGACAATACAAGAGGAATAAAGGAGATATAGCCCCAACTAGGCCTACCAAGAGGGGAAGAACTAGGATGGGCTGGTCAGAGGATCCAAGATGGATTTACCACATATGGCTGGGCTCAGTTGGTACTGTGGACCCAAGCAGATGTGGTCTCACCAGCATGACAATCTCAGAATAGCTGTAACACTTTGATGATATGTCTGGACTCCAACAGAAAATGTTCTAAGAGGGCTAGGTAGAAGCTTTAAGACTTTGTATTAGTTTCCTGTTGCTGCTATAACAAATCACATATTTAGTAGCTTAAAACAATGCAAACTATTCTCTTTATGGTTTGGCTGCCCAGAGTCCAAAATACGGCCTAAAGGACTAAAACCAGTGTCAGCAAGGTTGTGTTCTTCTGGATGATTCAGAAAGAATCTGTGCTTTTTGTCTTCCAGCTTTTAGCACTTCTTGGTTCCTGGCCATATCATTTGAATCTCTGCTTCAGCTGTTGCTTTATCTTCTTTCTCATTGACCTTTTTGCTTCCCTCTTACAAGGAATCTTATGATGGCATTTAGTGCTCAACTGGATAATCAAGGGAACTCTGAAAATCTTTAATCACACCTGGAAAGTCACTTTGCTATATAAGGTAACATTCACAGGTTGGGGAATTAGTATGTGCACATCTTTGGGATCCATTATTCAGCTTATCACAGATTTGTTATGGCCCAGTCTTGGAAGTCCCCAGAATGTCATTTCTGCTACATGCTATTAGTCAAGAAAGTCACTAAGGCCAGTCCAGGTTCAAGGGAAGGGAAATTAGGAGATGTGGCATTTCATGTACGTAATCATAGTTTGTTCCATTTTATCAGTACAATAAAAATAATTTCTGTTGGAAATTTTCTATTATATTTTATTAATGCAGGTCATTAAGATTCTTTTTTAAA